ATTCGGGTTTCAGCTTTCTCGATTCGGTTTTCAGCTTCCGACAGGCGGTTGTCATGGTGAGCAACCCTATCCTTCACCTCCTTTATCTCCTTTCCGAAGGTAGCGTGAAGGTCCTTCATGAGGAGCATCTGTTCCTCCTGTCGGCGGGCCTGTTCCTCGTGTCGGCGGGCCTGTTCCTCCTGCTGCTCTTTCAACTGAAGGGCCTGTTTCTCGTGTCGGCGGGCCTGTTCCTCCTGCTGCTCTTTCAACTGACGGGCCTGTTCCTCCTGTCCGCCCCGCAGCTGCTGCAGCATCACCATCAGAGCACCTAAGTCAGGTGCCACAGACGTAGAAGCTGCTGACGGACCGGCTTCCGTGGCCGGCGGCTGGCCCTCAGACATCTGCGGCGTTGCACCACCAAATCTCCTCTGGTCCGTCTCCTGTTGGCGTTGACTTCGGGTACGGACACCCTCCGTTTCCTCCTTAGGTAAAATCGGCATTATTTTATCCCACTTCTGACACCAATTGTTACGAGCTTGAGGTTCGTGACAATTAAAAATTGCCGATAAAATTACCTAAATTAACACTTTAATTTACTTTACACAATTAAAGTTAAAACACTAATAATTTAAACACACTAATTCACTTAATTCCACTCCGAAGCTTCGCTTGTGTCGCCGAGTTCACTCTGCCTCCATCGCATCTTGCAGCGCCTATATATTTAAATTAGCAAAGAAATATCCAGAATGTTCAAGTAAACACGCGGAAGCTACCGAGCGTTCGAGTTTCGACTAGGCGCTGTCAGTTGAGTGATTTGTGATGTCATTTTCTCAATGCTCCCCTCACTCTCGTTCCTGACACTAGATGGCGCTAGTTGACTTATTCATGCAACATTACCATACGAATTAAAAATATCAATTTGAACAGCAGCATAAATTATGAGACCTAGGTTTAATTTTAGAGGAAATAAGTGTTACAATCTTTTTTTAACGTGAAGCCCAAATTTTAATTAAATAAATCAAAAGAATACAGAAGAATGTATTGAGGTTTTTAAAGAATAGTACTAATTTTACTTATTTCCAGTTAGGTTTCTATGTCTACTTTTCAGTATATAAAATTTTAATGGCGCCATTTACTTAATTCTATAGGTAAAGTCATTTTATCGAACGAAAATTGGTTGATTCTCACGATGGTACCTAAAGATTACGCTAGATGGTACAAATACGCTATCGGCTAATTTATGGTGATATATGAGTTTAAAAATATCATTGTGTACGGTTTGTTATGAATTGAAAATGAATAATTATAATTATAATAAATAGTCATTATTTTATGGTATAAAATTTACAAAGCGTTATCTTCTCATTATAACTATCTTAATTCCTGTCGTAATCTGTTCTTTTATGCATATAACTTAAACAAAATATAATTTCTAGGTTTCACATCTGCCAGGCGTCCCTTTTTTAACTTTATACATAGTTTGTTTGTACTTTGTTCATGCTTTTATTTTGTTCGTGTATTATATTGTTTGTAAATATCTCAAGCAAACCCAAACGGCTCTTTTCAAAACCACCGAAGGTGTGCAATTGCATATGTCATACAATCTATCTAGCGGTAGTATGCTTTCTGTGTGCTTTGTTAAACACGTCCTTGTCAGCACTGAATATCAAACTAAAGAGTGGAGACAGCTCAAGATTGGTGTATTTTTATTAAACTGCTAAAAACAATAAAACCATATCTTGGGCTTGCCCTAGCTTCGCCACTGCTTAAGACGCCACATTTCGGCCTTATCTTTAATCTATATTGTTCAAAGATTGCAATAAAAAACAAACAGCGTTTACTTTTTAATTTAATAGCGAGTCGCGACTACTTGCTAAATGGGCACACGGGGCTGGCTGACACATGGGCATGCATAAGTTGTCAACCTCGTCCAAGGTGCCATGACACTTGAGGGTATTGCATAAAGTCTAAAAGATTTAAATAACATAACATAATAACAAATTGTCTTTCTATAATTCTTAGTGTCTTTAACCTGTTTACAGATGTCACCTGGGACATGGTGCAGGCGGTCGCCAGGTCCAGTGCACCCAGGTACGAATTCACGTTCATCGTTTAGCTTTTTCGAGTTTTACACATTACGACATCTTTTAATGGGATTCCCATTGTGACTGCCACATCATATTTTGAATTGAAAGGGCATATTTGTTGTCATCTAAGGACTAAGGTGGAATGTCTTAGAGGTCACTTAGACGAATGAATGAAAAGCGGAATCGATCGACTGACTTTATAATATTATAACTATTATCAAATTAGCTTCGCTTACGATTAGAAAAATAATAAGCCTATAGAGGGTTATTTTGCAATAACCGGCTAAATTTGCAGAGAAGGCTCAGAATAAGTAATATAGGCAAATAGTGAAGAAAAATTAATTTAAAAAAATCTCAAACTTTCTGTTTTTATTATCTTTGAAATTCAAAATGTAATGCATTATTGTAACTGATTTTACTGCGCACGCATATTCGTAAGGGTGGATCGGTAGGCCAAAACGTTGTAAACCATAAATCACATTCAATTTGGGATAAATTCAAATAAAATTAGAAGCCTTATTTAATCGTATTTTCAAAAAATGTAATAACATTACATATATAATTTTTTATTATATATTTGAACTTAAGTTTTTAAATTTGGTTACTCTTTGAAAAATAACCCTGTATACATCTGAATATATGCTTCGTCGAAGGAATGCTACAAAGCACGGTTAATATTGGCTTACATCCATCGACTTATTATCACTCCAACAAGTGGGGGCCCTACACTTGCATACCAGACAGTAACTGTTCGTTGTGTGATTGCTATTTTAACCTAGTGTACAAATACTTCATACCTTTTAAAATATCTCATTTTAAAACAAATTAAGCGCGGGGATTTATTGTGAAATTTATCACTTCTTTTTTTTCAGTATTAAATCATCCGAGGCGTCCTCATCCAGACACCAGAAACGGCCGACGTTAAATCACGCTCACATACAAACATTTCAACATTTGAACCAACAGCCACATACAATAGTGTTTAAATTGCATACATATCTGCACCGTACAGCGGATTTCACCCAAGTGTTAAAATACCAACACGTAGAAAATAATACCAAAAAGCAACTGTCTTCAATGGCTTACTGTACTGTGCACTTAAATACAAAAATGTTAATAAACAACGTATGTAATGAATAAAAAAATCTGTATGAAATCCTTGGTAGCTTACAGAACTATATTTTTAAATTATCAGTGGAATAAATTAAAGTAAGAAAAAATATATGTGTCATTAAAACCGTTTTCTCAGTGGAAGGACTAACTGTAAAAATATATGTCAACCTTTCTTTTACTAAACTATAGTAACTATATAACATTTTAAATAATAACTGTAAAGTGCTCGAAACGTTGGGTATATAAAAAAATAGTAGTGATATTTAAATGTGTGGTGTTCACGTAAATATAAGAAATCATTAAACATTTTAGTGCAATCCGCTGTACGAAATTTGCATGGGAAATTAATCAACTTCAAAAATATTCACTCATATAATTTTGTTCATAAATTGTCAGTCTTTATATTTTGCTTTAATTTCTCCTATGTTTGATTTTAAATAATGTATTTATTAATTCTTCAAAATACAAAAAAATCGTTGAGGTTGGTTAAATTTCTCATTTTCGTCCTACTTTGTTGATGGAATTATTGGGACTAGCAGTATGATATACTTAAATGTATTTAGCGGTACAATCGTATTAAATTTGTTATTTACAAAATGGCGAAACAAGAGGGAGTTGGGAAATATAAGGCCTCATTGGAGACAAACTTGAGTCCTGGTCTGGAAATTTAAGAAGCAATGAATGTACCATTTAAAATATAGATGTGGTTAATAGAAAAATCTTTCTAGCTTCTGACTCTCTTCGCTGCTCCCGTACAAACTATATAGTTAATTTAAGTAGAAGGAACCTTCGGACATGACAAGATCTCACATATAACGCGAACTAGTCATTTTTAATAAATAAAACAAGATGCAAAGCATAGACTTAGTGATATCTTTTTATTATTTAGTTATTTTCGGCTGTCCGCAAGTTTCCTTCCGCTGACACGGACTCGATATATAATTATAATTCCCTACTCATTTATTTTCTTAAGGTTTACAGATAAAAAATGTGAATTAAGATTTATTTTGGCGGGACAATACCACCTATACATAAACAACTTTTTCCTTTACAAAAACAAAAACTTATTAAAGCTAATTTTAATTACAATATTTTGCTAAGTGGTTTTAATATAAATATAAAAAATGAAAATGAAATGTATAAGTTTTATTGATTTTCAACTTATTTTACGTCTCCTATTCTTGTAATGTTTGTTGATTATTTTTATTAAGTTCATCTCTTAAATAGGTTAGTTTTTAATTTGTCAAATCCACATAATACAGATTATACAATGTTCCCTTCATTCAACGATGCGCACAATACGATACAATTTTAAGACATCGCGGCTTAAATATCTGATAAAGAACCTCCTTGTGATTTATCATAAAATATTGATGTGTGGTTTGACAAGTTATATGACAACGAAGCTGCGCGGAGTTGTACATTTAAGTTTTTTACATTATTTTTTGAATCCTATATTCCAGAGTAAAGTTTGTGAAACTTAAAATATTTTAGGAGTTCATTTGACGCAAACGTTACAATAATTCTAAAATTGCTGTAAATTAAAAAAAAACGTACAATTGTGTATTTTGCTCTTTAAATAAGTGATACATTTAATTGTTGACTCTTAAAATATTTTAACGCTACTTCTGCAGCATCATTAAATTATAATAAGTTGTTAAAAACAATATAAAACATAAAAATATACTTCAATATTTAACTCTTGCGTAGTCGTCAATTACACGATATCTCAGTCTTGTAATAAATAGGTTATGAAAATGCACATTTGCGCAATTTTTGCGGTCGGTAAAACAGATAACTTGTCAATATCATTATCAAACATTACGTGAACTTAGCTACAAGTAGGCACAGTGAACTATGCAAGGGATTCTGTTACATTAAAGTTATGTTTGTGTATTAGTGTATGTTACATATTTATGTATAACCGTTTGGTATAAGATGCTTGACTTTTGGGATTTTACAGAAACTGAAATGAATTACTGAATACTTATAGCATTGAGTAATATATATTTACAATATGTACTTTTAAACAGCACCTGTGTGTCCAGTTTGAAATAGGTAAATTTTGTTGTTTATCTGGTAATTTTTTTATTAAATTATATGTATGTATTCGTTATCTACGTTATGTTATATTTTTAAATAAACTCTATAGTTTTATATGAATATAAATGAGGACGGTCGTTCGCGTTACTTTGTTTCACTATTATAATTTCGCTTTAGAACTTTCAATTACACAAATTAATTATTACATTACAATTATTTAAGTAATTCGTCTCAGTATCTGTAATCACTCTAAAAGCCAGGCATGTTCGAATTACCGAAAAGATCAGTTGACAGTAATCTTCATGGAATGAGTGTAAAAGTGGCGATGTCCCGTAGATTGTATAATTTATATGAAAGTTTATTGTAACTTGTAGATTATATCGTTGTTAATATTAAAGATTTTAGCCTATACATGGTGTGTTTTATTTTTATAAATCCAGGATCTTCGGGCCGAATAATTTTGGAAGCTGTTTAAAGAGCTATTTTTAACTCTGGTACCTATATTTAAATCTGGTAGACCATTGCACCCCGCTAATTTTAGATAGTTTTCTGCACTACCAACTCTCAGTAAAATTGAAAAAAAAAATATTTTGAATCAATTGTTAATCTTTTTTAATTCAAATAAATTACTCTATAAAAATTAATTTGGTTTTTCAAGGGGTTACGAGACGACTGGGAGAATTCACAAGATGCCCTGGGTATTTTTTGTGATCTGTCCAAGGCTTTCGATGGTGTTCATCATGAGATATAAATGAGTAAACTACAACATTACTGTGTCAAAAATATTGCGCTTAGACTTACTTATTTCATATTTAAATAACACAAGTTAAAAGTCTTTATCAATGGTAAAGGTTCCTCCGGATCGGTAGTATCAATGGGCGTTCCTCGGGGCTCGATTCTTGGCCTATTTCTGTTCTTAATTTATATGAATGATTTACCTTATCTTGTAGGGAACAATCACGATATAATATTATTTGCTGATGATACCTCTTTAATTTTCAAACTCAGACGGTAGTTAGTAAATTTTGACAAAGCAAATAATGCTCTATCGAAATTAGTACATTGGTTTAACGCCAAAAATTTGCTCTTAAACGTCAATAAGACGTGTTAAATTTACGATGCCTAACCCTAATGTCAAACATTCGAATACAAATGTGCCCTTAAAAAGGAAGGAGGAGTCTTGTGGATACCACTATTTTTCTTGGCATTACTATTGACGCGAAACTCGATGGAGCCCTATACACCTAAATTAGCAGGCAGACTTAGTTCTGCAGCATATGCAGTGACAAAGATTATAAGTCTCACCAATGTTGAGACAGCTAGATTATTTTAGATATGTACTTTCATAGCGTACCTAATATCTTATGGAATCGCACTACGGCGTAATGCGATTGCATAGAAGTCATATTTGTTTTGTAAAAGAGAGCCATACGGGCGATTTATAACTTAAATTTTAAAGAGTCCCTTAGACAAAAACTTAAAGAAATAAACATATTGTTGCGCGCCATAAATAATTCCCGGTATATAGCGGGTGATTATTAACGCCATCTAGTATCAAGGAGCAGAAATAGGAGCGTCATGATCTTTCTAGAAAACTCCACACTCGGAATTTCTACACCCAGTCGGTCGGGACCGGTATTTGCTGGAACATTCTAGATGTTTCGGTATTAAAGGCCTATATAACGCTGTTTGGGCCGCGACCGAGGCGGTATTGAATTGGCGACACAAGCAAAGAATTCGGAGAGAAAGTGAACTGAAGTGTTAATTGTGATTAATTATAAGTGTGTTTTAAGCATTAACGCGTCTTTTGCGGTCCTACTCGCTAGGTATAGTCCCAAAACCATGGAAGACGGCTTTCGTCCACTAGATCCCAAAAAAAGGCGACCGCTCAGACCCGTCCAACTACAGGCCTATCGCCATCACCTTCTTGTTCTCCAATCCATTGTAATCATTGAATCCATTGTAAACTGCCAGCTCATAAGGTACCTTGAGAATCACCAGCTTATTAGTCATCACCAACACGGTTTTCGTCGTTGTCGATCAGCTGGAGATCTTCTGGTCTACCTGACTCATAGATAAGCGGCGGCAGTAGAGTCCAAGGGGGAGGCATTGGCCGTTAGTTTGGACATTGCGAAGGCCTTCAATCGGGTTTGGCACAAAGCGCTTCTTTCGAAGCTCCCTTCCTATGGGCTTCCCGAGAAAATGTGCAATTGGATCACCATCTTTCTTGCAGATTGGAGCATCAAGGTCGTTATAGACGGTGCATACTACGATTACAAGCCCATTAACGCTGGTGTTCCACAAAGCTGCGTGCTATCACCAACGCTGTTTCTTCTGCATGCAATGATATGTTGCAAACCTGCAACATTCATTGCTATGCAGATGACAGCACTGGTGATGCTCTGTACACCGGCCGTGCCAGTATTGCTCGGGAAAACGTCTTCGAGTACCGGGACAAACTTGTATCTAAAGTCGAGTCTTTGCTGAACAAAGTGTCGGTTTGGGGGCGAATAAATCTAGTCTAGTTTAACCCTCAGAAGACACAAGTTTGCACGTTAACCGCTAAAAATAATCACTTTGTTGTATCTCCTCAGTTTCAAGGCACTCCCCTTGTTGCATCAGCCAGTATCGGAATCCTCAGCGTCGACATATCGAGCGACGTGTAGTTTCGTGGTCATTTGGAAGAAAAGGCCAAATTGGCCTCTAAAAAGCTTGGTGTGCTCAGCAGAGCGCGACAGTATTTCATGCCGGCACACCGCCTGCAACTTTACAAGACGTAGGTTCGGCCACACATGGAATACTGTTCCCATTTCTGGGCTGGGGCTACCCAGTGTCAGCAGTTGACCGCATCCATCGCAGAGCGGCTCAAATTATCGACGACCGAGTGCTTTCCGATCGGCTCGATTCACTGGCGCTGCGAAGAGATTGCATGAGGGTTGCATCTCCTTGCGTATTTTATCGCATCTATCACAGGGAGTGCTCTGAAGAATTGTTGGGATTAATCCCAGCCGCCAAATTTCGTGAACGCACTACGCGGCACAACCTCCCGATACCATCCACACTGTACGTTTCACTACGATTTTTCTTCCGGGTACGACTTCTCTGTGGAATAGTTTACCACCGATGATTTTTCCGGTCCGATACGACCTGGGGACCTTCAAGAAAAGAGCTTACTCCTTTCTATAGGGCCGGCAACGCACCTGTAATTCCCCTGGTGTTGCGGTTGTTCATGGGCTGCGGTAGTCACTTAACATCAGGTGAACCTTACACTCGTTTGCCACCTCTTCTATAAAAAAATACATTTTGCTTTATTTTGAGGGATAACTTCGACTTCACCGTCACAAAAGTTCATGAACAATAAAATTATCATCATAGTGACTAAAGTTGTGTAAAAATATTGGTATATGACGTGGTGTTCTGAGCTTCGAGCCACATGATTCATGACCAACACCTATAAAAATACCAGCGTACCAATCAAAATCATAAAAAGGATCTGATAACTCTATTTCACAAATATCACAAATAGTTGCATTTGAATGTGGTTTTTGTCTTCATTTGTTAGAGGAACTGGATATTTCTGAAGTCTATTCATGTCTTTTAAATTGTTAGATAAACTTTCCATAAACACTTGTATACTATGTTACATATTTTGATAATGTATCATCATATGAACATTTTATATAATAACCAAAACCATGTATTTCATCGTTCTGAATATTATGTGTGAAAGATTTGGATGGATCGTTAGAACATGACTCTTTTGGTTTTAAAAATTCTTCAAAATCAGCATAAACTACGAATGGTATCTTGAACATTTTTTCATAACTATCAAATTTAATTTTATCATTTGAAATAGGTTGACCAAACCAATTCTTTTTTAAAGTTTCACTGTTTGTTAATTCTGTATCAATGTATGTTTGTTAATCTGTACCAATGTGGGCACAATCGTATTGTTCGTGATTATTTAACCTTTCCTGAGATGTAAAATGAAGTAGACATGCTTCGCAAATGTACATGACGTGACCCTCTTTTGAAATTTTTTACTAACTAACCGCGATAAAGTTTATTAATTGAATTTTTAATAGTCGATAATGTTGATTTGATAGTTGAATAATGATTTTTCGTATCCTTGGAAAAACTAACAAATTGATATGTCTATCTTTACGACAATTTGTCAAAAATAATGGACCTACTATAGAATTACATCGTTTTTCTTTATTATATTCTAACCCAAAAACATTAATACTAATATCATTTAATTTTTCTATTTTTGCTATATCAGAAATCTTAACTGAAAAGTAAATACCATCAAATTTAAGTTATTTGCATGTTTAGTGTACGATGATACCCGATCCGCGTTTTTGTTTACAGAATATAACGCTGAGAGTAAGCCCATTTAAAACAAAAAGAATCTTCGTTTTTTTACATTTATAACAGCCTTTTTTAATTTTATGTCACAGAGAAGATCTATGTACGAAGTACCGAGAAGGGATTAAATTTATTAATATACATGTCTATGGATTTTATGGTTTTTACACTCCATCCACTATCTTTGTTTTTTAAATGCACTTATTTTAATAGTAATTGTTATAATTTATTATTATAATAATAATTTTACTAGTAATTTAAAGACGAAAGAAAAATATTTAAGTCGTCTCCTTGACAAATAATATAGTTAAATGTTTGAAAATCGATCGTATAATGAATATCTTTAGTTTGTTGAACAAAATCAGCATACAATATAAAACTACTTTAAAAGTTATGTGTTGACACTTTCTATTAAAAATAAAATATCATATTTGACGGAATTTCAATATAGTTCAGGA